CTAATAGCAGCATAATTATATAATTCTCCAGCCCCCGGTTTAAAAGAAGATCAGCTCAGAGAAGACTAAAAAACTCTACTGAAATCCAATAACGGCCTATGAGACGCCAATTTAATTTTATCCAAGAACTACTTGGCCATCACAAGGGTATAGTACTGCATGCTAAAGAAAACTTCAAGCTGGATTTCTAACTCCATGGGAATCTAACGAATATTCTTCTCAGTATCCTTCAGCTGTACTAGGCTCCCTTGTAACTAATGTTCTCTCTCTAACCAAAGCCAGTCCCACCATAGGGATTTCCACGATTCTAGAGATGCCTCAGCACGCTCTGATCCTTCAGATGCTCTCAGAAAGCACAATTTTGATTTCTCAGCACCACTAGGTTAAGCATTCTTTCCACTAAAGGGAAAATAGCACTTTTGTCCTCTTCTCTCCTTCACTTACGCCTGATATCCTGAAAGGACTCTTCCTCACAAGATCTAGTTTCCTGAAGAGTGTTGTGATGACTCTGCAGGCTGCATCACCACTTGGCCTCAAAATCAGGTCCCAGGACACGTGCTCACATACATACACATACACCCAAAGATGCAGAGCCCTTCTCCCAGCCAAACACAGAGTTGCTGCTCCCTGCTTCACACGTGCAGTGGTTATGGGAACACAAAATGGAGTCTGCTAGTTCAGTTGCTTTCTGACTGGTTTCTTACAGGGAAGGAATGCTCCATCACGAATCCAAAAGGAAACAGGAATGAGACTGCACAAAAGCAACTTCTGTCCTCAGGGAGGCCGCGGCCATGGAATAATCAAAGAAGTATGTGAGAATTCTCAGCTAGTCTCGATGTATTGCAGACAGGGACAGGACATGGCCACTTTGAGGATAGAAAACTATGCTTTCAAAGACCAAGCAGTGCATTATGGAAGCACGGAGGTGGTTTCATAGGTTCTCACTCTTCACTCACCACCTTCACGGCTCACCACCCCTAGGCTGTCAGTATAAAAGTTCACATTGGAAATCCAAATCAGCACCCAATCTGAGTTAAAAATAAACTTCAAGAGAAGTGCCTAAGGATGAGAATGAGCGGCTGACAGCAGAAACTTCCTGGATGACAGCTATTCACCTCTCACCAAAGCTGTTGCATCACATAGTTGCATCCTCAGACACTCAAAGGGACAGGCCACTTTCTGAGCAGGGTTCATCTAACCAAGACTGCAGTGAGGCTCCCAGTCAACTGCTGTGAGCTAGTCAGTTTCTGGAAGCATCAGGGAAGAAGAACGTCTCAAGGACAGATTTGGAAGACAAAGTGCTTTCAAAGCAGACCCTGGCAGGCAGTCCACATATGCTGAGCAAGTCAAGAATCCCGAGAATAGCACCAAAATGAGCAAGCAAGATGAAACTCAGAGCTGAGGGCATGTGGCAGTCATGCACCGGATCATGCAAGCAAGAAGCACCTGATGCCACGGTGATGGGCTTAGTTCACAGGCCCACAGTGGCAGGAATAAACCACGTTGCCTTTGGTTATTTGTGAAGTGAGTGGCAGTTGTTTGTGTGTCCCCAGAATAAAAGCCCTCCAAATCAGACCGAGAAGGTGACTCATTAAGCCCCAGAAAGACGATAAATAATGAGAGGCCACAGAGCAGCAGCAAGACCCTAGTGGCCACAGGGAAGAGTCGGCCCTCCATCCCCGCCTTCCTTCCTCCCCCATCCATCACCAACCACTTGGGGTTTGGCAGAGCACTCGCTTTCCCACAGTAGCTGATCTATTACTCTTCAGAAGAGCGTTCCCAGCCCCTTCCTTCCCCTCCCTTCAGGCCACAGGGGTCCCCCACTTGGCAGCCCCCAGATCCCCCTCTTCTCTGAATGTCTGGTGACCAGCCAACCCCATGCAGAAAGCATTAACCCCTCTTCACCGGGAGCAGCCAGAGAAACCTGACTCCACGCTGAGAGCTTTCTCTGGGTGTCTCCCCCTCCTCCTCTACTTCCCACCCCCAATTCCCTCCCACACCCCACTCTCCCCCCTTCTGCTTCTCAAAAACTAACTCCAGCCCCGGGAGTGTTGCATCTTCCCAAGAATGCTACACGAACCCATGGGAATTTTCCTTGGACCAAGAACAGACCCTTATTTATTTGTCTCTTCTGCCTTTGTTCCTCATTTCCTCTTTCAAGACTTAGGCAAGACCTCGACACAGTGCCGCCCGGATCCCCCGCTGCCTCTTCACTTTGTTATTATTTTCAGGAGGAGAGCGCTGATAGGCGGAAAGCTCTTCAATGCCTTACCCCCAGGCAGGAGCGAATCAGCCCAGACACCCAACTCCGGGCTGTGCAAAGGGCACGGGGCTCTGCGGAGCACCTCGGGCTCCGGCACACACAGACAACCCCCTGCTCGCGTAATCCTTCTGACTGCAGCACGGCAGCCCTTCGGATTAAATCCGCACAAATCAAATCGTGGGTAACGGCTCTATGCCGGTAACAGGCATATGGCACCATGAAGAGGGGCAGTTTCCCGGAATGAAATCAAAAGCCTCCTAATGCACTTAGCTCAGGGTCACATAAATCTCTCTTCTGCCTCCCGCAGAGGGTTGGATCTTGTTTACAGGCACTGCAGCAGGCCTGGGTCTCAACAATATGTTTATTTCTCTGTACAAACATTCCTTTTCACAAAGCAAAGCAGTGTCCTGATCCTCAGATTAAGCTGAGCAGAGAGGACTATGGAGCACGTCTTCGGAGAAAGAGAGCTTGTTGTCATCAGTGAAGACAAATGCCATAGTGGACATCACACCGGCTGCTGCTGTAACACTTCCCACTCTCCAGCACTGTGAGGCTGCACCTCAAGTTGCTGTGTTCAGTTCTGGGCCCTTCACTACAGGAAAGACATGGAAGTGCTGGAGTGTGTCCAGAGAACGGCAGCAGAGCTGTGAGGGGTCTGGAGCACAAGTCTGATGGGGAGCAGCTGAGGGAACTGGAGTTGTTCAGGCTGGAGAAGAGGAGCTCAGGGGAGATCTCATCGCTCTCTTCAAGTCACTGTAAGAAGGTTGTGGTTGGCCTCTGCTCCCAGGTAACAGTGATAAGATGAGAGGTAACGGCCTCACATTGTGCTGGGGAAGTTCAAGTTGGATACTGGGGAAACATTCTTCTCCATAAGAGCGGTGCTGCAGTGGCACAGGCTGCCCATGGAGGTGGTGCAGTCAGCATCCCTGGAGGTGTTCCAGAGCTGTGTGGATGTGGCACTGAAGGACGTGGTCAGTGGGCATGGTGGGATGGGCTGGCCATTGGACCAGGTGATCTTAGAGATCTTTTCCAACATCAATGATTCTGTGATTCTTCTCCAAGACTGCCTTATGTCTCAGGGAAGGATGAAGAGAAAAGCAAGGCTTTGTCTTGGGCTGAGACCTAAGTGGAACCACACATCTCATTGCAAGGATGTCTGGTGGTTATCTGACCAGCCCCTTCCCAACGCAAAAAACCACAAACTTACACCACGCAGATAAAAACACAGAAGCTGAGCCCTTCAGTTCAGCAGTACGATGCAGGGCAGTTAATGCTGCAACCTCCTGATCACAGACCAAGTTCCACTTCCTTTTATGTATTCAGCGACATAAACATTTATTCTGAATTCTGTTTCTGAGGAGTTAGCTCCCTGCACAGCCATGCCAGAAAGAAAGAAGAGGAAGGCACTAAAATCTCTTTTCTCAACACCCCATGGGGAACTGGAAGGAGGTGCAGGGCAGAGGGGACCACAGCCACATTTTGAACACCTTGCAAAATCTGACATACTGCTAAGAAACACTTGGACAGGACTGCATGGTCTTTCAACAAAGAAAAGGTCTCGAGCATCTGAATATTTCAGAATCATAGAATCATTAAGGTTGGAAAAGACATCTAAGGTCATCTAGTCCAACCGTCCACCTAGCACCAATATTACCCTGCAAAGTCCATCCCAGCTCCACTGCACAGGCCTGTAATTGAGTCAGGGACCAGATCCAAGCATCAGATTCACCATCTCCAGCCTGACATCATCTCCCCACTGCAAGGACAGCGCTCTGAGCTGAGGGAGGCCATGCCACAGAGATGTTCCACACTTGAACGATGCAGAAAATGAAACTGCCCTTTTTTTTTTTTTTTTTTTTTTTTTTTTTTTTTTTTTTTCTCAACGAGAGCATCCGCAGGGCAATTCAGCTGCATCAGGACACATGCAGACAAACAGGGCCAGAAAGGAAGCCCACAGCACTTCCTCACTGTTCAGTGATAGAACCTGGATGCCTGACAAACACCCTTCCCTTCCCCCCAGCGCTCATGGGAAGCAAGAAGACTCTGTTCCAGAGCACAATGGCACCATAAATAATTCAAGAGACTGCTAAATTATGCAGAAGCAATCCCATCATCCCCCCCTGGCCAGGCTGGGTGCAGGTGTGGTCAACCCTTGCTCCAAAAGTTGCTGCGAGATGGGGAATTTGAGGCCACGGAGGCTCAGTGCCAATGGCGCATATACAGGAACACAGTGGCCACTTGCATCACACAACAGCACGACAGGAGGTATTTGGGGACACCCAATAGGGAAACAGCCATTTCTTTGGGCCACCTCTTCTCCAGAGACCTCACACAGCCCTAGGAGGGTAGCAGGACCTGCAGTCCTCCCAGGCTGCGTAGGACAGCGAGGCAGAGGGAGAGGAGCTGTGGGGCAGGAGTAGAGGAACCAGTGTGCTCAAAGAGGAAGCAGCCTGTACTGATCACCCCAGGGCAATGCTCACCCAACCCACCCTTGTTTGCCTGCCCCGCACTGCACAGGCACAGGGCTTACCTGCAGCCCCTACCTCTTCCAGCTCCTGCAGGCTCTGTGCTGTGGCTGTGCCCAACGTGCTCTGTCTACAGGCAGCTCTATCCTCCTCCTCCTCCTCCCCAGTGTCTAGCTTCTCCCAGAAGCATCCACACTGGCAGAGGAGGAACTGAAAGCACTGCCATCGCCCTCGCTTCAGCCTCAACTGAAAATCACAGGACTGCAGCTTACCTTTCTCTTCCTCCTTAAAGGGCTCTGCATCAGGGAGCGGGGCTCCCTTCAGAGCCACGCTGCTGTCTGCTGGGCTCCACTATCTGATAGCCAAAACAGGGGATGCTAACGCAGATAAAGTCAGCGGAGCAGCTCCCTGCGTTACACAGCAGCTGCTGAAGGCGTTCCGCAGCGGCACACATTTGCATTGGTCTCTCGGTGTGCCTCAAACCCGATCGCTGCGGTGCTGCTATCATGCAAAGCACACACAAAGCAACACCCCCACAGACATAAAGACCCAAAGGAATGGATGGCAGAGTGACTCTGCTCACTAACCCTGGCCCAACCTGCAAGGGTTGGCACAGCGGCAGGATGCTACTGGGAAGAAACAGCAGATGGAAAGGGAAGCAATTGAGTGGGGCAGCGTGGAAGTGGCCCAACCCCCAGCTCAGCCACAGAGCACTCCCTAGGGCCAGCATCATGCTTCTCAAACTGCCCGAGCACCCCAGTCCTGACCCCGCAGCCCCACCATGCATGATCACGGTGGGTCATAGTGGTCTTTTTCAATCTCCGGGATGGTATGATTCTCTACAGGCAGGGCTGATAGCCTGAACTAGCCCTTCCAGGCACCTCACACTGTACCAGCCGGGGGGGCGGGGCGGGCGCGGGGGGCGGGGTGGGGTGCTGAGTGCTGTCAGCTGTGCCAGTCTTCGTTAGCACCACCTCCTCCAGCCACATCCCACTGATTGGGTCACAGACTCCAACAATGTACAAAAGGCCCATTTTAGAGCCAGTTACCCCACCTCAAACCTCTCCAGCCTGCAGGAATGAACGCTGGCCCAGTGTGCCCCATCCATTCATCACTGTGTTTCCCAGCTGCTTTCCTCCCACTTTTATAATCCACTGCATGAGCGGGGTTAAATAAATAAATAAATAAATGAAAAGAAAAATATCAGTTTTGGATGGCAGGTGCACTTTGAGGATGCTGTCTGGTGGACAGGAGGAAGCTCAGGCACAGAAAGCTGAGAACTCAGTTATAAGCCCTGCCACGAGACTGAGTTTATCTCTGCCTGCTGACAGGTTCAAGCAAGGGAGAGTCAGAGAGGGAAACTCATCTGAACTAAGTGTCCTTCACACACACAGCAGTATCCCCATACACTGTCCTGAGTGGCTCCTCATACCTGTACTCATGGCTGTGTACACACACCAAGCTTACTGTGGCCATAAGCCCTATAGAAGGGTCCATGCTCATGTAAACATCCCCAGCAGGACCTTGTTGCACGTACCCAAACTCTCACCTGAGCTTCACACAACCACCCCATAAGGACACACGATGCGACGTGACACCAACCAGAGTCACACTGCGCATCACCCAGTGTGCGTGGGAATGAGGAGAGGAGGATAAACAATGCAGAGGAGAAGCACAAACACCAACTCCATACCGACAGACCCTGAGGGCAGCTGTGATTGCAGCCTATACACTGAGCAGCCCCCACAGCCCAGCTGTCCCCATCCCCTGCTGGGGATACAAGGCCCACAGTTAGAACTGCAGGCAGTTCCCGCAGTGCAGGTGCACCCATTGGCTTCCACCTCCTCTTCCTGACCACCTTACCAGGGTGATCCCCATATGCCACACAGGTAGATCCCTCTTCTTACAACTTTACCAATAAGTGGATGGAGGGATGCTGATGCCCTACGTACCTCTGGTGGAGATGAGCTCCTGCAGTGCCTCATACCATAGCTGGGCACGGCAGGCAGCAGTAGGGCCATAGGTGGGAACCAGGTAAGAACTCACCTACAGCTACCAGAACTCCTCCCATAAGAAAATAATTGCTGCATCCAGGACATTGATAAACAAGCCATACAGGTACTGGCCTCCCTCACGTGGAGGCAATGCTGTACCTTCCAGCACGTTTCTTACCACTTCTGCAAGATCCTCCGAGGGCACTGAGGGTGTGTAAACCTTTGGGGGACTTTTAGGTTCCATTCTCCATCCCCTCAGCCATTGTCCAAAGGCTGAGTTATATCGTTATGGGTGCTCCCCAGGAGCAGCACACCAGGTTCTCCCCTCTCTCCCCAGTCCAAAGGGTGCATTCCCAACATCACCATGAAGCTGAAAGCACAACACTGATGCTACAGCTGTGCACAGGGAGCTCTGGTAACTGGAGTGCTGGAAGGTGGGAAGCCTGTGGGTTTTTCCTCCTATCCGAGACAGCTCTTTGCTGTCCAAGGGTCAAGCAATGGCAGATTCTACAAGATTTCAGCTCTCCCAGAGGAGCTGGCTCCAGCAGCAGGGTCTTGCTGGTGACTCACAAGTCACAGGCTGCAGCTGGACTCAAACACCACTTCTAGATAGGGACCCGTGGGTCACCCTTAGGGAAGGGGGCTGAGAAGTCCCCGCTGACTCACGTCCTGTTGTGGTCGGGTAAAGAGGGACAGAAGTAGGTGGGCAAAGAGGGATGGATGGGAGTAGGTGGGGATCTGGAATGCAGTTTGCACAGGGCTGGGGGCTCCTGGTGACTCGAATGCTAACATGGGCTCGAACTTCCCTCACTGGAAGAGGGATCCAGAGGTAAACGGGGGGTTGTTACAGGGAGGAGAGGTGCTTGGCGCCCACGCATGGCCCATAGGATAGAGGGAACCCCAGCTGCAGTGCTGGAATCAGGCAGGGCTCCCAGAACTGCAGCCCATGGACCCGCTCGGTGCCTCTCCCTCCTGTTCCACATTCCCTCCCTGAGCAAGCCCAGAGCCGCAGCAGACACACACTCCCCATCACCCTTGTCACGCTCACCCAGAGAGCAAAACTCACAAGGACGGGGCTGCACCAGCCCGTGCCACCCCAGCAGGAACACACAGCGATTCCCATCTCACAAACAACGTGGGTGCCCACATGCCCCCCCGCAGCCAGTGCTCAGCCGGGGGGGCTCAGTCTGACGCGGAGCCAGAGCGGGGGGGGAGGCTTGACGCCGATGGCACACATGTATTTGTGTGTGTGTGTGTGTGTGTGTGTTTGCCCTCCCACGCACGCACTCCTGTTACTCCTTCTCGCCCGCTGCAGCCTTGGCACGCGTCCCCAGCCCGTGCCCTGCTCGCAGGCAGCAGCTGGGCCTCCGCTGCAGTGCCCCGGCCAGAGGCTGCCTCCATCCATCCATCCATCCATTCATCCATCTATCCATCCATCCCCGCAGCTGCGGGCAGGGGGCTGGCGGCATCGCATCGCCTCCCTCCTCCCCAGCGCCGCTGCTCCTTAGCAGGGGATGCTGGGATTATTGGGAGGGAGGTGAGGGGGAGAATAAAAAAAATAATAATTAAAAAAAAATCGCGCTCGTATAAATAAATACGAACGGGAAAAGGGGGAGAGGGGGGGCAGGAAGGCGAGCAGAACTTGCAGGTGGCGGCCGAAGGGGGTACGAAGGGGGGGGGGGGCCCCCCCCCCCCGGGGAACTCCCATGGGGGCTGCGCGCCCCCCTCCCCCCCCCCCCCCC